GAGTGATCTGCCACACAGGAATCCAAACCAGGAAAGCTTTCCAAAACCAAGTTTCATGGAGCCTGGGCTGACTTCAGATTCATTATTTAGTTGAGGATGGGTGGCCTTGAACTTCTGATGATTCTGCCCCCACCTCCACTGTTCTGGGATTACAGTTGTATACCACAGGTGCCTGGCTGGTTAGGTGTTAAATATCAAACCCGGGTCTTTGTGTATTCTGGGCAAGCACCCTACCAAGTGAGCTATGTGCCCCACCCAAGGAAAGTTATTTTTTAACAGTTGGAGTTATACAGACACAGGGGCTAGGAAGCTTTCTGAGGTGGGGATCTTTCTCCAGGGGCATTCTAGGCAAGGCTGCATGAGAAGTTGGCCATGGTATGTGGGTTGCCTGGTCCCTCATTTTCTTTGAGTTCTTACCCAATCTGAGATGCTAAGACTCTTGTAACTATTTGAATTCTTCCTGCCTCTGAGCCTAAACTAATGATTCCCAGGTCTGACCCCTCTTCTGCCTGTGGGTCAGTACACGAGGGTAGTAACAACCCTGCCCTCCTGCTCTGGTCCAGAATCACTGCCAGGCTCCAGAATTGGCAGGCACCAAATGGACACGAAACACAATGGCTGAGCAACTGCTTTCAGGATACTGAGCCACCTCTGTCTCCATCACAACCCCTCCTGAGCGGACAGCTGATCATATAACTTGTTGCTTACAAATGTGGGGCCATCCCATGGCTTGTGAATCCGATTTACCCTCATCCTGGGAGAGTTTCAGGTGTTCTCTTGGATTTGGAGGCTGGAGATAGCCATGTCTACCTCCATGTTAGTTTATTTAGGGGCCCTTCGGCTCTGCCATGTGCTGGGTGCTCTGTGTCTCGGGTTGCAGCTATTTCAGGGCCTTGCACAGCTGACCAGCTGCTAGGACAGTTATTTGGAGCCTGCTGGCTGCCTACAGCTGCTCCTGCTGAGTGCTGGAGAGGAAGGGGAGAAGACATTCTTGGGCTGGGGGGTCTAGCCGCTTCCAGCTGCTGCTGAGCCCCAGCTCCGAGCTCAGCTACATTTCCCATAAGTCCACATTCCCTAGCCTGTCTGCCTCCTCCTCTCCGTCCACCCTCTCATGCCTTCTCTTTTAATCTCCACATTGAACTGCGTCTCCTGGGTTTTTAGTAATGTCATTCAAGGAGCATTACCTGAGTTCCCACTGTGACTTATATATCTACAGACAGCAGGAACAATGTATTTGTGTGGGTGTGTGGTGCTGGGGTTTGAACCCAGAGCCTTGTACATGCTAGGCATGTGTTCTACCAATGCTAATGTCTGAAATTGTTTGGGCAGCAGGGGCTCTGCCCACTCTTGACCTGCCAGAGCCTGTCAAGGCAGGCATCTGACTCCATTCTCTGGGCACACCATCACATGCTTGGGGGGAGTTGCTCACACAAAGGCCATCAGCCAAGTACCAGGTAGAACACTTAACACCTGGTCCAGAGTGCCCTAGGCCACGGTGACATGCAAACAGTGGCTCACACTGGCATATGATCACATGTGCCAGGTGCTTTACCAAGTGCCCAGTGGGCCTTATACCATCACATCCCTGCAGCATCCTTCCAAGGTGAGCCTCAGAATATGGCTTTTTATAAGGCAGTCACATTTCTCACAGCTGAAGAAGAAAGGCTCGGTGAAGTTAAGCCATTTGTCCAAGGTTGAGTCAGGATTTGAACCCAGGCTGATTGATGACTTGAAATTCACTCTGCTCAACTATGTTCCTATCAGTAGATTGCCTATCAGTGTATGGATTTTAGTTACAAAAACCAACCAACTGATACCCAAAGTACCCTTAGGCTGTGTTATTTGGAGTAGGATGTCCGTATTTTGGAGGCGATAGTCACTCTGAGCCTTCTCAGGGCATACCTGGGAGTGCTGTCTGGGTCTGTTCGGTCTCTAAGTGGTGGGAAGGTGTGTCTGCCTTCTTCAGTGTGGAGGGAGAGGGGAGCAGATGCATCTTCACTGCAGACTCAGAGCTCAAGAGGTGCTGTGCATTAGATACAGAGATGAAGAATTCAGTTTGAGAGAAACCCAACCCCTCAGAGGACAAAGTCCTTCCTTGCTTACTGAACGACTTCCTCAATTAGTGTTCACAACTATGTATGGCCTGTGCGACTGAGATCCATACCACAGCCTGCTCAGCTCTAGGACTCGGACTGTCCTGAGAGGTTGGGTTAGCCTGTGTGAGATCTTTTCCATAGGTCATGGGTGGGCATCTCTGATCCCTCTTCTTAATGTTCTCCTCTCCTCTCTTCTCCCAACACCCTAGAGTCCCCAGTACTGGAATCCCTGAGGGACCAGGAAGCAGAGACTGTTTTTCCAGGGCCCAGGCATACCCCACCCTGTCTCCCTCCCTTGACCTCTTCCTTCCTGTCTACCCGGTTCCCCTCACCTCTGTCTCTGCACAGCCCCAGCCTCCAAGCCATTGCCATCATTGTCAGAGTCAATTCCCTGGAATAATCAAGTTTTCCGGTTGACTCCCTCCTCCTTGCCAAGGCATTGCTGGGAAACCTCAATCAGCCAGGGCCCAGGAGGCTTTTGGAGCAGCCTGAGACTTAAGAGGAAGGGCAGCACCTAACCTTCCCCAGTCCAGATAACAGTTTCCAGAAGAGGGAGGGAAAGGGGCTTTAGCAACTCCTCCACCTTCAGTGGAAGACCTCTGTTCTTCTTGCTGGCTTGGTCTTCCAGCGGGCTCCCCAGCCACCTAGGCACACAGAGGCTCCTGGGAAGGCATAGGCCATGGTGTGGCTTACAGTGGTGTCAGTCAGATTTGGGGATGTCAGCTCTGCAGAAGGGGTTCCATCTGACATGAATGTGATGCTGGGTGGTGGTCGAGCACACCTTTAATCCCAGTACTCGAGAGGCAGGAAGATCTCTGTGAGTTCGAGGCCAGCCTGGTCTAGAGTGAGTTCCAGCCAAGGCTACACAGATAAACCCTGTCTTGAAAAAAACCAAACCAAACAAACAAACTACATAACAACAAAAAGTGTGGCATTGGGGGATGGGCAGACCTTACCAATATTGAGTCTACTTACTCAGTGGCTGTCACCCAACACCCCTGAGCTGTACTTACAGTGGGATGGCCTCCACAGGATGTTTTAGGGATAGCATTCAGGGGGAGTCACCCCAGCACATGTCGTTGCTGTCACTGTAAGTTATAGATCCACAGAGCAGGGGTATAGCCTACCCATTAGAAGAATATGGCTAGAAGCAGCTGTTGGCATGAAAAGAAGGTGTTTGGGACACAGTATGTGAAAAAAATAAAAGTGGTTGTGAAAAAGGAAATGTGTACAGCAGGGATTTGAGCCCAAGTCCATGCCCATGGAAGGGGGTGATGCACTTCGTGGATGCCCAGAAGTTATCCACAGCATTCAGTGACAGTGTTCCGAGATAGCCAACGTTATCATATTTCCAAAGCGGCTTATTACTCACAGAGGTTAAACATTATTGGTGTTTATGAGTAGAACTCGATTTTTGCAATTACAAAAAACTAAAATCCATTTAAAAGACTCTGACATGCCACAATCCAAATATGGAAAATGTTTTTCCTCTGGCTGGCTGGCTAACAGGCAGAGTGGTGTGTTTCTCTTTGCTGGAGTGTATTGTCTTCAAAATGAAGCTTGTATTAGCTGTCCAGATTAGTGAGCCATTTGCAGCTAAGTGAAGCCCTCAAAAGTCTTTATTCTTGGACGAATTTAACTTCCCTTCACATTAATGTCTTTATGTGACAATGATAACCTCAAAGGGTAAGTATTGGCTTAAATGCCACTGTTCATGCAAAGAAACTGGGAGAGAGGGTCATGTGTCAACAGTACCTGTGACAAATGGTTATTGTTTGTCTGAAAGCCGCTCTGAGGATTGCAGAGATAGCTTGGTAGGCAAAACCCACGAAGGCCTGAGTTTGTTGTCTTTAAAAGATGGCATGTAGTGCTGTGTTTATAATCCCGCTGCTGGGAATGCGGGGACTCTCTAGCTAGCCAGCCCAGGCCACTTGGACAGTCCCAGGCCAGAGAGATAAGAGAGGGGAGAGGGGAGGGGGAATAGAGCCAGGGGAGGAGGAAGAGAAAGGGGGGAGGGGAGAGAGAGGAGGAAGAAGAGAGAGAGGGGAGAGGGGAGAGAGAAGAGAAAGAGATTTTCTCTAAACAAACAAACAAACATGGACGGTGCCTGAGAACACCTAAGACTGACTTCTGGCCTCATTCTAGATGTTAAACATAAAATAGGGAAGTCCTAGGGATTAGAATTGAAGAAACTTTTTCTTCCATGGAGGCGTTGGGGGTAGAGGAAATCAGCCCGTCTTAGTGGGTACTGTGACACACACTGAGTTCGAGGCTCTCAGAAAAATAAGACACCCTCCTGATACAGTTTAAGAATCAGTACACTTCAGGTTCTGCAGGTTAACTGAAGACAGTAAGAGAAAGCGTTGCCAGCCGGGAAGCATTTAGAAGCAACTGGATGGCCTTGGAGTCGGTGTCTTCCAGCGGCATGCCTTTGTTTAAGGGCGCATTCCCGTGCCCCCTTTGCTTTCCGACTTTGCACCTTAGCGAGCAGTAGCATCTTTAGTGTGGGTGGCGCAGTCACCGCTGTGGGAAGGTGACGATCGCCCTGTCTCTCGCCCTGCCCCCCTCAGACC